ATGTTCAGCTCTAAACTCAAGCAGGACCTTCAGAAGGACCAAGAAAGAAATGTGCAGCTCTTTGGGGGCATTTGGGTGTTCCCATGCTCATTGGTTTTTGCCAGAGGGAAAAGCCAGAAGACCAAAGAATTGCGAGAATGACTCTTCTTGCGGTAGCTCTGGCCTCCTAGGAATTAGGAAGTGCCGTAAATCTCAGGAGAGAGGTTGTTTGTGCAAAATTCCCAGCCCACAATTCAGACTCCAGGGGTTCAGATGCATTTTGTTATGTTCCAGAAAAACAAGCAAGCTTTTGGGGCACACCTCTCAACCAGGCTCAAATTCTACATCTTCGTGGTTTGCCCATCATTCAAGCTACCAAGAATGCTACCTAATCCACAGTTTGCAACTATTTTTAACAGGCTCATCTGCATTGTTAAAAACTGCCTGTATTTTGGCAGATAAGCCAGTCAACTCTGGAAACAGTGCTGGTCTCTTAGATTTCTTTTTGGAAAGTGTCTAAGATTTATAGTGGGAATTACTCATGACAGCTGCATTCTTTCCACTGGGTTTAGACCACCATTTGGTCTAATAACTCCTAATTGTGTGTCTATCATAGTCTAAGCTTCTTCAGAAGAAAAGGTGGGGGCTAGAGGAGAGAGACTTCTGAAAGTCTCCTATAGCAATACCCAGTGGATTTCTGTCAATGGTAAACACTATTTTGAAACTTTAGATGGTCAGCTGATGATGAACAAATAAATGACCTTTCAGTGAACATGGATTTCTTCAGAGAATTTTTCATTACTACCATTGATGCCAGTTTGTTAAAAAAAAAAAAAAATGAAAATGACTTAGTTTCACCATGTTCCCAAGTATTTTTAGCTTAACAAGAAAAGTTCTTCTCAGCATCCAGTCATGGTATTTTCTTGAAAGAAGTACCTTTCAAAGTGATTTTTCTCCAAACTTCACCAAAGCACAGCATGGGTACCTTGAAGACATTGCACATTTAAAAATCATAGGAGGTCTAATTATATTTCCAAAATAAGTAGTTCCCAATTCAGCAAGGATAATGTGGTCATGAAAAGGATGTCCAAATCCACCAATTTACATTGGTTTGGTTTGGCATGACTTTCAAAGTTCTTGGAGCAAAAAGAGGATGGCACGTGAATCATTGCAATTTGGGTCATAATTCCTAGGACTTTGGGTTTGCCACTCTGTGAGGCATTCAGGGGAAGACTAATCAACTTCAAGACTGTACCTATATAATTTATCACTGCTAAAATTCACTGATATGTTCCAGATTATTTTGCAAAATGTCATGCCCTCCTTTTTAATATGTACTTTGTCATTTTCACTCTATTTATGTAATTTAGGAAGTATGATAGTAGGGCAGCATAAGCCATTTGAAGCAGGAGCCCTAATGCCAGAGACTGTTATCCTTCACAAGATATATGGTGTTGATATCTCTGAATCCAAAGGGCTTGGAAGTTGTGTCAAGTTAGATTCAAATTGCATCTAATGTTTTGCTTTACTCCCTCTTACTTTCTGGTTTCTATCTTAAGCCACAAAGCAGTTTCTCTGCTGTGACTTAGTTCTATAACCACAGTGGTGGCACTGGTCTGAGTTACGCTCCCTGTCTCCATCCCCAGCCCTCCCTCCTTTTATCCCAGAAGAAAACTGGGTTATTATTTAGGATGAGGCTGCTTTGTTTAAACAGTATAGTGTTTTCCAATTGCTCAAGCGTAATATATCCAACCCATACTGCTCTTTCAAATGTTTTTGATTACCCAACTTAAAAAAAAAAAAAAAGACAAAGAAAAAACTTCTACTGAAATTTATGAAACACCAAGTGTGTGTGTGTGTGGGGGGGGTACTTCTTATGTTGTAACTTTAAATTTCTAGAAAAGGAAAAGAAAGTTTTCGATCCTGGGTAATTTTAGTAATTGAAATTCAGTTTACAACTCTAGACAACATATGCATTTACAATAACATATAAAATAATTAGAAAAGAAAGAGTCCCAGCTTCAAAATAGAAATGTGCTTGATTTTATACCTTGAATAAAGAGATATGCATATAAAGTAAAACTTAAGTAAAGTCCTTATTTGCAATAAAAATTCATTGACATTCAAGTAACATCATTTACTATTGACCTCTGATAAGGGTCCAACTAATTAGCAAAACAAAAATTGATTTTAAAAAGAATTATATAGCAAATTTTCTTGTTTGTATTGTAACAGAGTTTAAACAACATTTCACCTTGAGTCATTATTTTAAATAGGGCTAATTTAACCAATTCTATAAAAATAATATTAAGATTTCTCACTTGGAGAATGTAGGTCTGCATATTACATCAATATTTCTATTTACTAAAATATCCTCTTTCTCACATTCTTTCAAAGAAACTGGTAACTCATAGGAAAATACCAGACCACTTTCATTTGGTGAAATTTTGTCTGTTTGTGATGGCAAGCAGGCTGACATTATTCACCAACCATGGTTTTGAATGACCTTTATCTAGTTCCAATTACAAAACTATTACCAAAGACCCCAAACTTGCCACCAGAAAAATTTTTCTACAGATAATATGGAGCCAATGAAGGTGATTTTATTTTCCCTAATAGCTACATGTTCAGAAAAAAATAAGTATAACCCCAAGAGGAAATATTTTGAAAGGGACATACTTACTTGGAAGTTTTAATATTTCTAAAATCTATCATATTATTTAAAATTTTTAGGGTAAATCTAGGTACCAAACACTAGCTAATGACAAAGCAAGAAAAGTAATGGGTAATAAATTATAAAGTTCTGGATATAATGTATATACTGAAGACCAAAATGGTCACATACTAAACCTAGGAGTTACCTATTAGAAAAATTTTAATTAGGATTAGTGTTACATTTCAGTTGTCAAATGCACATTGTACTTAAAAGCAACCACACTGGAGTAACTTTTGATTAATGGAGCTATTTTGTGCATTAGGATGAAATAATATATGTGATTTTTATAAATATATGATGTGTCTTAGACACTCATACACACTAAAAGGTGTCCAACCTCATCTTAATTCCTCACAAATTCATAATTCTCATGAAGGGACAGAGACAGTGATTTATTTTTAGATTATTCTAGAACTACAAAACTCAAACCAATTAATACATTTGCTAACAACTATTCCATTTTATTGATATTATTCCAAACTGCTCTGTAGTTTATCACATGGAAGGGTAAAAATCATGGAGATGAATAGTAGGGCAGAGAGGATTTATAGGGGAGGGAAAATACTTTGTATCATTCTATAATGATGGATACGTGTCATTATGTATTTGTCCACACCCACAGAATGTACACCACCAAAATGGACCATAATGCAACAAAAAACATTGATTATAATGTATCAATGTAGGTTCCTCAATTGTGAAAATGTATCACCCTAGTGGGGGGTGCTGATAATGGAGGAGGCTATGCGTCTATGAGGGACAGGAAGCATATGGGAAATCTCTGTACCTTCCCTTCAATTTTGCTATAAACTAAAACTGCTCTAAAAAAATAAAATATTAAAAAATAGTGAATGATTATTTTGAATTATACCATCAATGCCAGTGTTGCAAGTTATGTTATTCTACCCTAAACTATTGATGAAATATTTTGCACAATGGCAGAAGTGTTCCTACTATAAAGAGATTTACAAAGCCCTTATTCTGTTATATTATGACAATAATTTCTACCAACTCATTTAATACGTATGATTGTGAATTACAATGTTTAATCTTGGTGCTATGCCATTTCCATAAATAGCTGAGATAGTTGGGTGGTAACCTCATCCTTGGCCTCTCTGAGGGCCTGGACACATCAAGGAATATACACTCTTGACATTAAAATTATGTTATCCACATTCCTTAGGGACAATAATAGTGTTTTAGTAAGTGTTTCTCTTTCTATTTTCCTGTTTCCTCAATTTTCAATAACTTGGTCATGGAAATAACTAGATGCTATAAATAGACATGTGGAAAACAAGTGGTTGATCGTCCAAATCCACTGCCAGGATAAGTTATTCTGAATGATAGATGACCAGTTTTAAAATACTCTGAAACTAATTCCAGCATTTTGTCAAAGACTTTTTTCTTTATTATCCCTCCATAAGAGAGTACCCCCATTACCTGTAATATACTAGAGATTATCAAACTATTTATACATCTGGAATAGAATTTTTTTCTGTAGTTTAAAATAATTAGACCAATGCATACTATGTTATAGGATTACAAGAAAAAAGAGAATGGAATTGAATGGGATGGGATGAAACAGGACGGGGCTTAATGGAATAGAATAGAATGGAATGGAATAGAATGGAATAGAATAGAATAGAATAGAATAGAATAGAATAGAATAGAATAGAATAGAATAGAATAGAATAGAATAGAATAGAATAG